TTGTGTTGTGTTTGGGGGGTGGGGGGGGGGTGGGAAATGTTACATGTATGTTGTAGTGTGTGTGTGGCAACTTTTTCTGTATGTTGGTGGGGGGGAGGGTGAACATTACCTGTATGTTGTGGTGTGTGTGTGTGTGTATGTCTACAATACTTGCATGTTGTGGTATGTGTGTGGCAATCATAACTGTATGAGGGTGTGTGTGTCTGTATCTGTGTGCACTGCCCTCTGGTGCCTGGAATCAGAACCGCATCACTGTGTGTCCGAGTTGGGAGAAGAATCGATTTTTCGATGCGTTCGTGATTCCAAAAACAACAGCAGCAGACAGAAAATTAACCCACAATTATTTCTTTTCAAAATGTCCAACAAGGTTTTGTTTCTGGTCCACTTCAACGTGAGGCTTTGACCAAAGCCAATGGTATCATTTCGATATTGACCATGTTTGGACATTTTTGGATTGCTTGTAAACAGGATGAAAAGGACATTTTGAAATGAAAAGTCATTTTGAGCCCAAACCCCAAAGTGTGGCGTTTGAAAGTGTCAAAACAGAACATCTTTTCAAATTCCGTTTAGAGGTTTTCTGGTTTTTAATTTTTACTAAAACAATGTTGCCCAATTGATTTGAATTTGCCAACTCTTCCAAGGTAGCTCAATCTGTGGTTTTCACCAAAAAGAAGAGTTGCATGCAACATTTTTCTCCCAGCTCCCCTCAAGCCTCACGCTGCTACTGGCAATTCACGGCTGCCAGGTCGGAGCGTTAGGGAAAGGAAGAGCCAAGTCTAGTCAAACGACGGGTCACTACCCAGTCCTGGGGCGCGGAATGTGGGGTACCGGGGCTCGTGACGGCAGGGGGATCAGGTGACCAGGGAGAGGGGCTAAGGCAGCTCCCGGCCTATCCTGCACTGCGGCTCGCACAGCGCCCCAGAAGCAGCTAGTACCAGGTCTGGCTCCTAGGTGTGGGCGAGTCGCCAACTCTCACGGGATAAAAAAGCCCCCATCAAGCTCCCTCCATTTGTGCTCAGCAAGCCCTGGCAACAAACCAGGAATCAGCCAATGGGAGTGCGGCGCCAGAGCGTGGGGCCTGTGCAGCTGGACCTGCTACTGGCCACCTTCAGGGTGCAGGGCGGTCCCCTTTGCTAGGCCAGGCAGGAAGCCTGCCGGACCATCCCATCGTCACTGGCCAGGAGCCACCGGAGGTCAGCCTGTGCCCCAGCAATCCCCTGTCCCAGCCCTGAGCCCCACCCCTCCCCACCCAGAAACCCCTCCTGCACCCCAAAACCTTATCCCCAGCCCCATCCTTGGAATAAATTGCCAAGGGAGGTGGTGGAATCTCCCTCTCTGGAGATATTTAAGAACAGGTTAGATAGACATCTGTCAGGGATGGTGTAGACGGAGCTTGGTCCTGCCTTGAGGGCAGCCACCACTGAGAACAGCCTCTCGCCAGCCTCTTTGGAACCCCCTGCAGGGAGTTGAAGGCTGCTCTCAAATCCCCCCTCGCTCTTTGCTTCTGCAGACTAAACAAGCCCAAATCCCGCAGCCTCTTCTCTTGCTCCTGTGCTCCAGCCCCCGAATCATTTTGGCCCCCTCCACTGGCCCCTCTCCAATGCATCCACATCCTTTCCGTAATGAGAGGCCCAGAATTGGACGCAACCCTCCAGATGTGGCCATGCTCAGTATGGAAAGACACCCCATAACCAACACATAGCATGGCTGGGGCAAATCTGGCAGCCTCCATCTCGACCAACGACAGGGGCTGAACCAGAAATCTCAACGGCTGAAAACATGAGTCTCGGGCACCGTGGTAACAGACCCATCTCTGATATGGATCGGACACTGCTTGCAAGTAGCAGTTGGGTTCACAAGAGACAATGCTACCCCACCCCTAGGTCCTAGAGATCGCATCGCCTGGCTTGGACTGGTGGATGATGCGTATTTCAGAACAGTGTGAGGGCCTGGCTGGTTGCGGTTCCTGTCGGGCGCTAGCCCCGTTCAAAACTTTTCAACCCCGTGGAGTCTCCCTCCTGCATGGATCTGCAGCAGCCCCGCTACAATCAGTGGAGGTGCACAGGTGGGAACGTAGAAGGGGCCTGGTTTCTGATTCTTCCTCATGCATCGT